CTGCAACAGAATACAAAGAATAGAAGTCCTTTCATCAGCTTGCTTGTGTGTTTTGAGAACACCTCTGCTTTAAAACTGACAGCATTTCAGCGTGGTGCAGCAATGTGTTTTGCATTTCATTGCTTTTTAAAAAGAGTATAATTTCACTTTAAAGGATTTTCCTCTAAGTGCTCCAAAATTGTACCTGGTAACACACTTATCTTACTAGACAGTTTAAAGCTGGATTTGCCAGAAGGCTTTGGACAAGCAAATGTGACCAAAAACTCGAGTTAGAAGAAAATGTTTCTTTAACTTCTTTGAGTGGCTTGGAACCTGGTTAAAGCTCACAGGCTGGGAGCCTTCCCCCCCTCCCTTCCATCCTAGGGATCCAGCTACCCTTGCAGCTGGCCATAAATGAGGACCAGGCTTTGCCACTCTGTGCTTTCACAAGGTATCCTTAGGTCAGCAAAGCCATCAATTAGGCTGTCTGAAGTTTTATCACCAGCGCAGCAGCAGTAAGTGCCGGCCCAGAAAGACTTCTGCTCTTCTGCAACTCCTGCAGTTGGAGCCTGTAAAGGCGGGGGTCGTTTGGAGGTCAGTGCCAGCTGGGGATGACCTCTGCGGCTGAGCTGGGACACCCCGCGCAAGGCAGCCGCCCGCCCCAAACTTGGGCACCTTTCAACTCGTTAGAAACCCCCAGCCACAGGTACATGTGGTTAATATTAGGCCCAAAATAACCTTTCTTCTTTTTTTTTTTTATCTCAAACCGGGGCGGTTGCCACAGCTTGTGAGCACTGGTAAAGGCAGTTAGTTGGCTGTGGAGCCTGGATTTAATTTTGCTGGTAATCCAAAAATAAGTGCTTACATATTTCTTATTAGCTTAATGTGCAGCGATCCACATCGGCACAAGCTAAGTCAAATTAATTTCCCTAAAATAATTTTAAAACCTGCCTATTCACAGAACTTCTTTCAAAACAGGGTAATTTTCTATCACTCAGGAACCACACTTGTTTTTGTACCCCCTCTTTGTTTTTGAGAACACTTTGGAGCCTTCGTGCAGGTTTTGTGTGCTATTTCACAGCTCAGGCTTTCGGCTGGTGACCCTTAAGGAGTGCTAATGAAGTCGAATACTAGTGTTTAATCCTCTTCAGAAATACTAACATGCCCATCATCCAAAACAGCCTCCAATAATTGCCATTGGGCCAGATCCAACGCTTAGCGAAGTCTTTCAGTCAGTTAACTGAAAACTAAGTTCATCTGCTCATTTAGAAAATTGCTAGCCTTTATATAGCATCAACTCAGCAAGGCCTTTTGTTGGCTTCCCTCCTTCTTTCCCTCCCTCCTACCCCCTGGTTAAATTCCTCCACTGATAATAAAAGACAGTGGCACACCTTCGATTGCATCTTCCGTAATCACAGTCGTGGAAATTTCATTAGACAGATGCATAAATGCTGCAAGTACCACTACAGGGCTCTTTTGCATCTCTGTTTACATCCAAAAGACATTCTTTATTCTTTAGGAAAAGTATAATTCAGTTGTCAGAAATGTCATCCTGCCTCAGAATTAGTCATGACTTCAGGTATTAAGATAAAAAATCAGACACAGTTGATGTACTTGTTTATTCCCTTCTGACTGCAGCACAAGGAAGGCATTTCCTACCCCAGTGCGGTGATTTTGAAAGGTGTTTCCATTCCCAAAGACAAAGGTCCCCGACAGGACCTAATTTGCTGAACTACTTCTGAGAACATTACTGCGCTGACCAAATGGAGCCTGACCTGAACCTCTTCCATCCAATGCACCTTTTATCAGCTGAAGTTAAGGCCAATAGAGATTAACAGGAAAGCCTGATAAGACTGTTTTCTCTCCTCCTATGAGCTTCTAATGGTGTATACAGATGGCAAAGTTTTAAAGAATGCAATGAAGGCCTATTTAGGCCTGTAAAAAATCACAGACAACAGAAACATCCCCCCATGCACACACTTTCTGCCTTACTAACCCCTTTTCTTCAATCAGGCCACTCTTCAGGGAAACCAAATTGCTTTTTCGTTTTTTATTTAAACCCCAACCACTTTTATTATTTACATCTGGTGGTCCCCTTATTTATGTCCCTCTCCACTTCCCTGCACACACACCCTGGCTCACAGGGCTGTGAGGCATTATGGGCCTTGGCTCTCAGCAGGAGAACTCGACACTGTCTTCAAACAAATAATTAAGGGGAAGGTTAAAGGTTCACCCAGAGGTCATATCTTTGGATACTCCTCAGAAAGTTTACATTAGCAAGAAATGGGTGCCCTCTGAAGTGTTCTTTCAATGAGCTCACACAACAAGGCAAAGCATTAAGAAAATTCTAAGTCCTGAAGGGTTTCAGGTGACAAATGCTTTACCTCCATGAGCATGCAGATGGAGATACCCCACTTTGGGTTTTGAAAACCCAGTCTTGCCCAGTCTTTTTCTCCAGAAGTGCTTGGCCTTATTTTATTCCAGTGATGTGAATAAAGCCAGCCTTTCACTGTGAACTCTATGTAGAGGCAATTTACTAGTTGTTTTGGAAATGGGAGTTAAAGCCCTAATAGTGAGTCCCCCAATCTTTTTTTCCCTAGAGAAAAAACAGCTATAAAAGTAAAACTTTTTTTATTTGTCCAGTAAAAATTGCAAAAATAGTGCTGGGTTCAATTTCTGGTTTTATTATTTTCTTTTGCACACATGGGTAACTGCTGGTGCAAAAGATGTCCCCCAGACTATCAACACTCTGTTGGAAGTAAAGACACACTATCATATGCTTAGAAAGACATACGAGCACAGAGACTTTAGGCATCCAGATAATTTTGAAATTCCATTTCTATGTCTGCTCTGAAAAATCTTGTCAAAAAAAGGCATCAGTTATATCCATTAATGGGTATGTCTGAAAAATTACACATGAAATTATTTATATTTGCAAAATTACAGTGGCAAAAAGAACACACCTTTCAGGTGAAGCTAAAAAACAGATCCTGGTTTTGTTAGCATCAGCTAGATCATGTAATGCATCAGCAAAACTGTTAGACAAGGGTACAGAATGCAGTTGTTTGTGGATTATTATACATTCTTTATACTGCCTCATAAATATGTACAGTGTATAACAGAGATGTAGAAACTACAGTCCCTGCCCTAGCCTTTACATTTTTTGAGGGCTTTTTTTTGTACCTTAGGGAGCCATCTCCAGGGCCAAAGTAAAGCAAAATAGAGCCTTTTGCACAGCACTTCAGTTGGTGTGTTGCAGAAACACTGTGATGTTATTTTGGCACAAATGCCTTCAAAAGGCATTAAGAGACAGGTGAAAAAAGAGAACATCAATGCCACTTTTCCCAGCATTATTTGGAACCCTATAAATGAAGAACTCACAGATCTGCTCTTGACTCTAATTGTCTGTCTTGTTCATACCCTTCACCCAGAGGCCAAAGATTGAATGGCCTGAAAAGAAGAGTAAAATCTATCAAGACATGGATTTCTTTGTCATTCTTCTGTTAATAGCAATTCCTATTATTTGGATGATAGCAGCAGTTAGAGCACTCAATGAAGCTCAGTCTTCCTCCAGCCCCATGCTGCACAAGCACACCATTCAAGAGAACTCGGGGTCTGAACAGATTTCCAGGCAAAGCCTGGGGGATAGGAGAGATGCCTTCTCCCTGTTTGCAAAGGAGAATGGAGACAGAAGGAGATTAAGTGACAAGGCCAAAGTCAGACGAGAGATCTTTGGCAGAGCCACACACCCAACATAGATTTCCTCAGTCCTCTTTCAGCACACTACAATCTGCTATCCATATGCTATCTTTCCTTTGTTCCCTCATCTCAGCAGTCAGGCACACTGGCAGGGGACTGCAGGGAGAGCTCACATTGCCACTGTTTGTGCCTTACCTGCTGTGTAGATAAAGACAGGTCATCAGCCTCCAGGGTTGTGAGGCGATACCTTCACAAACTCTACATTCATATGGCACTTGGTCCTCATTCCAGAATGATAAATGAGGTGTGTAATGCTGAGAAATACATGTTGTTGACATAGTATGTTTAATGAAAATCTCACTTCCAGCATTTTGCAAATGACAGATTACCAACCTCCCTTATTCAAATAGCCATTTGAACTGAATGAAGGGCTTTTGCATCTTGTATTTTTAATTGCTACCTAAAGCAGCCACCTATATTTCCTATAGCCAGAGCCCGTTTTTCTCACACAAGTAGTTCCAGTCACTTTTGTGGGAGAATTTATGAAAGATCAAAATCTGGCTCAAAATTCACAACAACGTGGACTTTAAAAAAAAGTAATTTCATTTTTATCTGCTTCCAGCAGAAAACCGGTAGAGCAGTAAAGGTATACTAGTGAATACGCAGTCTAGTCTGATGATTTGGTAGCCCTACTCCTAATTGGTTCCTACCATTTCTAATTAGCATGACAATACAATCTAAATATATGCATTTAATTGCATCTCTTCAAATAGAGCCTTGGTTTTCTTTGTCCAAACTAAACATGTATGCTGCATTTTACCAGAAGTCTTGTAATTCATCTTCATTATATTTTTATCATATTTTATCTCAAGTCATACATACATTTACATAATACATTTTATTTTTACAATAAATAACATTCAGATAAAATCTCAGAGAGATATTCCTACAAAGTGAAAAGGCGAATAAATAGCAAATTGAGATCTCTCAGTCTGCTTGTTCAGATCTGGCATATTTAAAATAATTTTGCTGCTGTTTCCACTGTCTTTTTTATACACACTGTACATGTATTTCAAAACACTGAGACCACTCCATAACCGAACCTGAGTAAGATTAGCTCTTGAAATGAACTGTTGGTGGCTGTACTGATAGGCAATCAGAATTAGAAACATCCCTAGTTTTACTCTATGGCTATCATGGAAAATTTAAGTAAGTAGGGTCACAACAGGTTGTGAGGATGAAATGCATGAAAGCTTAGGAAACTCCAGTTCATTCCCACCTTAGGGTCTAAATCTGAACTCAAGCAGAGAGTGGTATTTAAC